CACATCATGTCATTTCTTTTATTTTTCTCCCAGCAAAGATATCAATGTACATACAGGTCTTGCCAGTATGGGCAATCCTACACTGCTTGGTCTTCTTTCTTGATGCCCACTGCCACATGTTGGTAGCTAGCTGGGTGAAGAGTAAATTAGCATCATCTCTAGAGAAGCAATACTTCTTATCCCTTTGCTGTAAGGCCACATGAAGTCGTTCTCTGCAAATCAACAGAGGCCATTTCCAAAAGGAAAAAAAATAGCATGTTAAGTCCAAATGGAAAAAGTGTTTTTTATTTATTTTTAAACAAAACAAACAAAAAAGCAGCTGCCTTCTACACTCAAGTATAAATTTATAACTTGAGCTTACCATTATGAACAACATATTGGTAGGTTACATTGTGGAAGATGTGTGTTATTTACGTTAGTATCTCCGCTAACAGTGGATAAATGGATCCAGTGTCTAAGTTGTGGAGGCCCATTTTGAGAACAGTAGCACGGCATGTCTTGTTAGTAGATAGCCAGCCTCAAGGACAGCAGTGCAGGTGTTCTATCAGCAGAGGGGGAGTAAAAGCAACTATCTGGCTGTTATGTGACCAAAAAGTTGGATAGACCAGTAATCTAAAGGTTTATACTGAAATTATCTGGTAACGGTGCTTTGCATTCCTTTAGACAAATAAGGTATTACATCTGGAATAGTACAGTATGTAAGTTTTATCTGATATTTAATAAAGTGACTTTGGTGTTTGACTCAGGACTTTGGTCTTTGATTCAATATACTGGAGTTCGTTCCCTTGCAAGTCACAACATAAGTTGTTGGAAATTGTAGGATATGATCATCACTATCTCAAAAAAAAAAAAAAAAAAAAAAAAAAACACCACATCACTTCCTCTTGTGAAGCACCACAGATCTTTTGCATTTGCTTTCGCGACACACCATCAGTTTTTCAAGTCATGAGTTTCCAATCTGCTTTTAACTGCAGACTATGCTGGCTTGTGCTTTCCGTTTGAGATGATTTCTTTGTTGCCCTGAGCCCGAAGCAGGATTTCTCCACACTCTTCTTTGTCACAACCTCATCCACTAGAACGGATGTTTTTTTTCCACCATGTTTCAGGACAGCAAACTTCTTTAACTGCATTCCAACTTCACTGGTCCCAGTTGAAGCTTTCATTCTTCTCAATCATTCCTCTGCATTTCTTCTTCTCATTTAGCAGACAGAAGTAGATCTTTAGTCCATGCATGCCATGTCTGCTTTCTCATCACCATTTCTTTACATTCTCACGCAGACTCCAGATGCATTCCTACTTCTTGCATTTTCTTTTCGGAAAATTCTACCGCTATGCAATAACAGCTATTGCATAAATCACTTGCTTCAGGTATCAGGATGTTTATAGCCTCTGCATCCAATCACCTCCATTGTTTCTACAACTCTCTTGGTGTCTCTCACAGCTGTTCTCAATGCATCATCAGCCTTCTTTTCTGAAACTCAACACAAGCTTCCCCATTTCTTATTTTTGCATAATTAAAAAAAAATCTAGAAATGCAAAACTTCTTCAGCAATCTTAGCTTAACTTTATTGCATATAAAATACAACTTGACCATTGTATATTATACATAAAAGGAAATGCTTCAGGCCAGAGATTTTATGCCTGCAGTGCTGTACACAGCTTTAGTATTAATATCAGTATATATGCATTTACTATTATAGAACATTATAATTTTTCAGTACTGATATAGAGGTACATACTATATATGTACAGGACATAAATAAATTCTCTCAGTACTGAATGTATTCTGCAAAAGACTAAGTTCTAAGCACTTGATTCTGTTACTGTACAAATTACAGGAGTCCTTTCCATGTATCTTGCTATATTATTCCACTTTCTGCTACCAAGTAACAGTATTAGCAGTAACAGTGGAAAATTATCAGAGGAAAAAAAAATCATTCATTCGTACTTTGTCAGCAAGGTAGTAACTACTCATAATAAGTTACTGGCAGAACTTCCAGAATAATCTAAAAATGGAAACAGTAGGAAACCAAATATAACTTAAAATAAACCACGGCAGGTCTCATTAGTACAAGCTAGATTTATGACTGCATCATGAAGAAGCATGAAGTTCTTGTGATTCAGTAGATAATGGTAAAGTTAATCTTTTTATTAATTCAATTAATTATATATTTAAATAAGACCTTTCTTATTACTTTTTCTTTTCTCCTATAGACACATAACAATACCAATATAATTGCTAATGCTGTCAGCACTGGATCAACCTGAAGCCATTTTGTTCCAAGATGCAGCAAGAGGTCAATTCTTGATAGAAATAAGCATAATCTCCAAGCCTTTAGAGGCTTAAAGAACACTTACTCATTCTATCTCTACACCAACTGTCACTCACAGGCCTTCTTTATAAAGTCATTTGACTTTGTCGATGTCTAGGATATAATCTTTACATGTATATGTAGATACATGCAGTAAAAAGGGATTGAAACCACTATTTCAAAATTACACGCAAACACGAAACACGCATCAGTCCATACCTGTTTGTTTATGTTGGCCCCCACTTGAATCAACCAAACCAGGCACTGAGGATGTCCTCCAAAAGCAGCAATGTGGGCTGGTGTTTGAGCAAAACGTGTTGTGCTGGCATTGACAGAGGCTCCAGCTCTCACCAACTGCATTAGGCACTCCAGCTTTAAAGATAGGAGGGAACAAAAATAAAAGTTTTATAAAGATGTTCTATGACACAGTCAGCACAGGTCAAAGAAAAAGAAATCCTAGAAAACTAACATGACTCATGTAGCGAAGTTGATGCAAAACAATTGGTGAGCACAGAAACATTAAGATTGCTCCTCTTCTCCCTACGTTCTTTGACCAGAGACTATACCCAAGAACTACTTAATTCTCCTCCTCAAAACTGAACGTCAACATTAGTTTTGGGAACAGGACAGAAGGGGACACAAATAATTCGGAGGTCACTTCAACAAATAGGTGGTTCACTTGTTAGAGAGGGGGGAAAAAGTTTCTGAAATATCAAAACTGCAAAAAACATGATAATAAGCAGACATTATAGCTAATGTTTGCTAAAATAATAAAACCTCATTAGATGTACAGAAATACTTTTCAGAAAGCTTAAAGGAAAGTAAACTGTAAAATGCAAGAAAAAAAAAATCTTTGCTGTTTTCTTGAAGGAACTGAAGCATATTTTTAAGGAGAACTTAAAGTTTTAAAGTTAATCTGCAATAATGAGGAATTAATGATTTTCATCATTTTTCTGATATTACAGATGAAGAGTTGTTAAAATAAAATAGAATTCAAGTCTATAGTAATACTAATAGAAAAGCTCTTTGCTTCAAAATATTATTTATTTTGCCCCTCTGTATTTTGGCTTTCATTTTCCTATCATACTAGCCAAAAGTGTCAGATATCAGAACAGCTGCTGTTTTTAAACGCTCATAACATCACATTTGTAGACACCAGGAAACCACAGTCATGATGACCTCAACTTTCAAAAATAGTCAAAAAGTACTCTCTTCCTGTGTCATATTGTGACTTTGCCTTTTTGTTGACAGGAAAAAGAACGCACTATTGTAAAACAAACAATTTAGTCTAGGCTTCAGTTTATTGTGGTTAGGAAACACACACACACAAAAACAAAACAAGACGAAAATAACGCACCATGATGATTCAGGACATTGGGTCATGTAAAACAAAATCTACTGGTCAGTCTCTCATAATTAAAGATGATGCTTACTAGCCATACCCCAGCTGTGAAATAATTTGTTCATAAATGAGTGATTAGAAAACATCAGAAAGACAGTTGGCAGTGTGATTAAGACGAAAAAACAACCACCCAAATTCCAGTGCTATTCTGTGCTCCCCTATGGCCAAGTCTTGCTCATTTATCTTTTTTAATTTACAAATTCTTGAGCTTGACAAGTTATATAAATGAGATAAAAAGACGAGTCACTCTCAAAGTATTTTTCTGTTAGATTTGCAAATGGCTTTTCCTTCTCTGTATAGTTCAAATAAACAAATGTGAACCATATATTTCCTGGCGTATAAAAGCACTTAAAACATTGCAGTGGACTTTTAGATACAGAAAAAGTACCATTAACTCACCATGAAGAACATGTCCAGGGACGAGGATAACTGAAATATCACAAAACTAATGAACCCATCCCTATAAACCTTAACGTTAACCCAAGAGAAAGCATCTTTTGAAGAATAAACATGTACCTGTATTGCAAGAATGCGATGATAGGTGCAACAAAAACATAATTTTAATGTTAGATTTCCCCAAATAAATGCTGTATTTTCTAAGATTTTCCTTATTGTCTACATACTCCCCATCACAATATGGCCATTAACTCCTAATAATTAATTATTAAGGATGGGAAAAAGCAGCAGCTACACCCAGAGGTTCCCTTGCTGTAACTGCAAAAAGAAGCAAAGTTCAGCCAGTTTCTAAAACAGATTTTCAATAGAATTCATTTGAGAATACTTCATTATAAAGAGTAGCATTTCCTGCGCAGAAACTGGGGTGAAAGAGGCAGGTATTATAGCCTGCCAATTTAAAAAGGAGCTAGGGGAGCTGGTGAACCACTACCTCCTAGCACACTCTAAATGGGCTTTATAAAACAGAAGATACATGTCATCATTAAGTATATAACCTCATACATAGATTGCCTTATTCTTTTCCTTGTCCTTTTTCTTATCTCTTTTCTTATCTTTCTTATCTATCTTTTGCTTTGATTTGTACTCTGGCCTCGTTTTTAACCTGTACGGTAGCTTTTCAGGTTACTAACAATTTTACATTCTGATCCATCTTCTTTTCATTACAATCTACGTAATGCCAGGAAAATATAAGACACTACATAATTAACTCCAGTTTGAATACAGCAGCTCTAACAATAATCCATTTAGATTGCAAGCTATACGCAGTTCTCTGCTGCCATGGAATATCCTGAAAATACACTGTACAAACAAAGGACCAAAAAAAAAAGGTATACTTTCATTAGAATTTCAAATATTACAAGCAAGAATGCTCACCTATCATTTTTAGCTTGCTTTTCTCATAATTTAATTATTATTTGTAAGCTCTTCAGGTATGTCTCAACAAAATAAGCCATGCTTATCAATCCATGAATAGTGCAATTCTTAAGATACCATATCTTTATTGCAAATAGAACAGTATTTCCAAATTAGAAGGGAAAAATTTCCTCTTTCGCATGCCCATTCATAATGGATGCTGACTTCTTGCAATGGATCTACAATTGTGAGCAAGGAGGTAATTATACAAAGCTTTATTCCGCAACAGTTTTGTAATGCCCTTCAATACATGAGGCTTTCTTCCATGCTCAGCTTGTGCGACGACTAAAGGAAGTGAAAGGTTTGCATATGGTTGAAGTTCAACAACCCTGGGCTGGTGCTACGTGTGCTTATGCGCGCACAGGTCCAAAATGTTTTAGGTTCTGCTGCTTGCAAGTGAGTCCACCAAGCACACTCCAAAAAGGAACCAGGGCAATTTTGTCATTCCAGTCTCATGTAGAGATGAAGTCGAACCAAGACATGTCTCCTGGACCATGCCCCTAACTTAGCCTAGGTTAGAAGAGCAGCCCATGAATTTCTGTTGCTAATTTATTTCAGGAAAAGAATAACAAAAAAGGGGAAAGCCTTCCCAAAATCTAGAGAAACAAAATGTATCAAAAGAGAGAATCTTGCTTAGTAACTACTAATGAACACTTCAAAAACCAAACATTTTAAAACACCAATACTTTCAGAAAGAGCAGAACTTTCCATTTGCAATTATGAGCAGTCTAAATTTGGGGGGAGGGGTAAATACAAATAAAGATATAAAAGCCACACATGCAAACGTTTGCTGAAAGCAGCTATTGTAAAAGGATAAGCAACAGCCAAGAATGAAAACCTTTCACCTGCTTGTAGCTGCCCCTAATGAACACGAAATAAATCAAATTTAGGATCCAATCACATTAGTGCATCGTTTTTCAAGAGATGCTAGACATTTTCTCAAAGAAATAATATGTAACAAAAAACGTAAGAGATGCACATCACTTCCACAAACTGAAGTCACCTCTGTCCCTAGACTTTTTAAAAGGCACATTTTTGCAGAGTAGCATAAGAACGTGTGTAACCTGTGTCATCTAGGCAAGTTTCATTTCTCTTGACAGATTTGCTGCCCTCCTCCACATGGAGGGGGGGGAGGAAAAAAAAAAAAACACTCCAAACATAGTGCAAACCGAAGTACATTTTGCTGTGGACATCTGAAATGAATATTGCAAGATACCGTGTTTATACTGTTCCCTTTGGCAGCTGTGATTCTAAGAGTGTCTGACAGGAATGCTAACGTACACAAAAGCCTCATATACCCGAGCATAATAGATAAAAAGAGGCTTGAAAGGCTTGGCTGGAGAGGGGAGATGCCCCCAAAGCCGAGCCCCACGTCCGAGGGGCAAAGGCACGACTGCCGCAAGCACGGACAAGAACAGAAATTCTTGCAAGATGGAGAAAGGAAACCTAAAATAGCAGAATCGGCAGAAGCCCAAATAATGCCAAATCACAGCAGCTTCTATGAGCGTCATGCCGAGCTTTCTTTTTAAAAAGCGGAGCAGCTACCGAGCAGGTAAACGGGCACCTCAGCGTCGTTCCTGACGCGCTTCCCCACCAAGCATCGCAGGGCCCATCCTCTAACACAGAGCCCATCTCCTGCTGCGTTCGTAAATCATCGTGACCGAAAAAGCACATTCATCTTCCTTCCCCAGCACGATCAATACGCAGATAAAAATATACTGGGAGAGAGGAAGAGCAACAGCAACAAAAACGGGCCCTTAAAATGAAAAGCAAAATCAATGAAAGAAAAAAAAATGTGTTTTTAGGCTAAAATTCTGCAATGAAAATAATATTAATAGAATTAACAGATGGGAAAGCTCTAGATAAAAATCAGCGAGTTAGAATACCGCCCATTTTAAGATTAGGATGCACGAACAAGCCACAGAAGAAAGGTATTTTAGAAAAATACTCAGTAACCCTTCCGCCTGGCTCCTTCCTCAATAGCTGCTAATTCCCGCTCGCGAGCCCGCTAATCCCCCGCAGCGCTATTTTTAAAGCGGCGCGGGGCTTCTCGCGCGGCCGCCTTGGCGCAGGGCACGTTTCCCCCTCACGGCTCCGGAGCGCCCGCGGCGGCGGCAGC